TGCAAGTCTTACCATTTTGCTTTTAGTAGTCCCCATGATTTTCTATTACCATGCTGGTTTTCTGTGATTCAGGAAACGTCCAGTCATCTTTCTCGATTTTTCCCTTTTAGGTAGTTTATAAATAGATAAGCATCAGTGTATTGTAGAATCATCAGGCATAATTTGTAGAAAATAGAAAAACAAGTCCATTGAAGTAAGATACGCTACTTTATCGTTTGTTCCTACAGTGCCATGTGCTTGTTAATTTACACCTCAGAGTTTGGTTCTAAATAATTCCAGACACTCCTCAATATGCTGCACCAAAGATCTTTAGCTGGTGTATATTAGCATAGCTTCATTGAGATCAGCTGATTACTTGAATGGGTTTTAGGTGTTTGGCCCCCAGGAAAATCAAGCCACCTACAGAGGTATCTGAATATAAATTTAGCACCTTAACTTTATGCTCTAAAGCGTGAAAATGTTGTTGTAGGTGTCTGGGTTGCACATGCAAAATATGTGGATACAAACAGGTCATGGTAGAAACATGAAGTTGGGGTCTCAAATATATTTTGCATTTTTAATTTTAGGTGGTTAGGCCAGATCCTCAGTTCGTGTAAATCAGTGTAACTCCACTAAGTTCTGTAGAGCCTGCTCATTTAGAACAGCTGAGGATCTGACCTTTAAAGTTTGGCTTCATATTTGCTGACACCTTTTGCATCAAGATTTTAGAAACTTCAAAACCCAGAAGGTGAGATACAAGTGAAGTGAAAAAGGTTAAAAAAAAAATATTGAAACAAATCTATCCTCCAAACTGTAGTTTCTTATACTACAACAACAGAATCAACCAGCTCACAGTAGTCACTCAATCTTTCATTTTACTCCAAGCTACAATGACGCCAATAACATTTTATAGAGAAATTAAAAGACAATCTATGCTGGCATATGAAAACAAATAAACTCTCTATACTTGTATGCTCCTTTATAAGACACTTTGTCAAGATTCCAGATAATGTTAATAGCAACATAATAGGGCTGTCAAGCGATTAAAAAAATTAATCGCAATTAATCATGCAATTAATTGCGCTGTTAAATATTTTATTTATTTAAAAAACGTAAATAAATGTTTAAAAAACATTTATTTAAATATTTTTGGATGTTTTCTGCATTCTCAAATATATTGATTTCAGTTACAACACAGAATACAAAGTGTACAATGCTCACTTTATATTTTTGATTATAAATATTTGCACTGTAAAAAACAATAGTATTTTTCAATTCACCTACAAGTACTGTAGTGCAATCTCTTTGTCATGAATGTTGAACTTACAAATGTAGATTTTTTTTTGTTACATAACTGCACTCAAAAACAAAACAATCTAAAACTTTAGAGCCTACAAGTCCACTCAGTCCTACTTCTTGTTCAGCCAATCCTCGGACAAAAATGTTTGGTTACAATTTGCAGGAGAGAATGCTGCCCACTTTTTTTACAATGTCACCTGTAAGTGAGAATGGGCATTCGCATGGCACTATTATAGCTGGCATCGCAAGATATTTACGTGCCAGATGCGCTAAAGATTCATATGTCCTTTTGTCCTTAAACCACCATTCCAGAGATCATGCATCCATACTGATGATGGGTTCTGCTAGATAACGATCGAAAGCAGAGTGGACTAACGCATGTTCATTTTCATCATCTAAGTCAGATGCCACCAGCAGAAAGTTGATTTTCTTTTTTGGTGGTTCAGGTTCTGTAGCTTCTGCATTGGGGTGTTGCTCTTTTAAGACTTCTGAAAGCATGCTCCACACCTCATCCCTCTCAGATTTTGAAAGGCACTGCATATTTTTAAACACTGGGTCAAGTGCTGTAGCTATTTTTAGAAATCTCACATTGGTACCTTCTTTGTGTTTTGTCAAATCTGCTCTGAAAGTATTCTTAAAACGAACATGTGCTACGTCATCATCTGAGACCGCTATAACATGAAATATGTAGCAGAATGCGGGTAAAACAGAGCAGGAGGCCTTCAGTTCTCCCCCAAGGAGTTCAGTCAAATTTAATTAACACCATTTTTTTAACAAGCATCAGCATGGAAGCATGTCCTCTGGAACGGTGGTCAAAGCATAAAGGGGCATATGAATGTTTGCAATACCTTGCAACACCTACTACAAAACTGCCATGCGAACACCTGTTTTCACTTTCAGGTGACATTGTAAATAAGAAACAGGCAGAAGTATCTTCCATAAATGTAAACAAACTTGTTTGTCTTAGCAATTGGCTGAACAAGAAGTAGGACTGAGTGGACTTGTAGGCATTCAAGTTTTACATTGTTTTGGTTTTGAGTGCAGTTATGTAACTGTGACAAAGCTCTGTCCTTGCTTCCGTGGGTCCCACGTTTCCTGGTGGATTTCGCTAGCCTTAGAGGCTCACAGTGACCCTCCATGTAACCCTTCTTTCTCTAGAGACAAGGGTCACAGTCTACTGAGCCATTTTCATCATAAGCCAGCAAGGGAGGTGAGGAAGTTTATCCTTCCTTGCACAGTCTCTGTTGTCTCCGAGTCTCAGTGATTAATCAGGGGGCAAAGGTGGGGTGGCAAGCCCAGGCCCACCCTCTACTCCGGGCTCCAGCCCAGGGACCCTAATAGTATCAGCTATGGTAGCTGACCTTTTAGAAACATGACATGTACAATTCCCTGGGCTACTTCCCCCACAGCAGCCCTCACTTCCTCAAGCTCCACTTCACCCTTACCTCAGAGCCTCCTTCATTGTGCCTGATATGGTGTGTACTACTCAGCCTCTCCAACAGCACAACCTCCTCCCACAGCTCCTGACATGCACACCCACCTGACTGACTGGGAGGCTTTTAACTAGTTTCAGCCAGCCCCTGGTTGGCTTCAGGTGTCCCAATCAACCTAGCATTCTCCCTGCCTTCTGGAAAGTTCTTAATTGGCCCCAGGTGTCCTCATTGACCTGGAGCAGCTTCCATTTCACTTAACCTGGTACCAGGGATTTGTTTAGCCTGGAGCTAATATATCTATCTCCCACTACTTTTCTATAGCCATCTGGCCTTGCCCCGTCACAGTAACAAAAAAAAAAAATCTATATTTGTAAGTTACACTTCCATGATAGAGATTACACTACAGTACTAGTATGAGGTGAATTGAAAAATACTATTTCTTTTATCATTTTTACAGTGCTAATATTTGTAATAAAAAATAATAGTGAGCACTGTAAACTTTGTATTCTGTGTTGTAATAGAAATCAATCTATTTGAAAATGTAGAAAAACATCCAAAAATACCAATTGAAATTTATTAAATATTCTATCGTTTAACAGTACGATTAATCATGATTGTTTTTTTTATTGCGATTAATGTTTTTGAGTTAATGGCATGAGTTCACTGCAATTAATCGACAGCCCTACAACATAATCCTTTAATCAGACATTCATACAAAATTCTTGATTAGACTTTGGGACACCCATCTATCCATTATTCCAAAGAATGCGGGCCTAATTCTCTACTTTGTTACACCAGTTTAACACCAGCATACCTCAATTGACTTTACTGAAATTACACTGGTGTAAAAACAGTGTACTAGAGCAAAGGGGCAGGCCTGTTATCTATAGATCTCTCTTTAACTATGTATTTTTTTCAAAAAATCCGGTGGATAATTGTGCACTTAATGTCCATGTGCTGAGCAGGTGTTTGTTCATGCAAATAACTAATTATAGAAGTAGATTCTCCAGTCTGCTAAGGCCACTTTACTGCTTGTGCAAAGTAGCTTTAAACTGGCCAGAGATTTGCAGTGTATAATTCCCCCTGCGTAGGGGGAATTTATAGCCACCTCCCACCCCTGCTTCCTTTGCATTCCTAGCGTAAGAGGGAGGAGGTGGCGTATTGGGCTGGGGCAAGGTGGAACTGTGGAAGAACTGAGTTCTGTCATGCTCAGTCTTCCACTGGTGGGATACAGGTTGGATCTAATGGAGAATCAGAGCATCTATGTCTAACTGGTCACTTCCACATGGAAATACCTGATGTGGGTTTATAATAATTTGAGAGTTTTTCATGTACAATTATATGCTTTGCTTTCAATCAGGACCGTAATACTTTTTTGCATTTGTCTGAAAGTGATTGGCTTAGCATGACCATTTCCTATAACAGTTTTGAATTCCACCCGTTTTATTTTTTTCAGTTAGATTTCTTTTTAAAACATGATAGCAAGGCAGATTGTATTCAGACAGCCACGTGCTAGAATCTGCTTGAGTAAGATATTTCTAATTTTGCAGGATTATCTTTAGAACAATAGATAGACGGCTGTCCATATGTCTTTTCAGGGGTTTTCTGAGCTGAATTTGCAATCAGCTGATTAAAGGATGAACATGTTGCTTTTCACATCATCTGGTTTATAAAGAACCCCATATCTGTGACCATAAAATAGTTAGGAGTTTGGGAAAGGGCAGATAATGTGTACATCCACTTATTGCAATGGCATGTGCAGATCAGATGTTTGCACATGCAATACTCAATTGTCTTTCTCACTGACCATTTACTCTTCCAAATATCTGATTTGGGGTATAGTTACGTGAAGTTGTATGCCTGACTTTTTGATAATCTGGCCCATAATATATGGATTTGTTTATAACAAATTGATGATAAACATGACAATATCTTGGCATATGTTTCAATTTAACCCCTTTTTATATTGATTTTTTTATTTGTACTTCTTTGCATATCTTCAAGCTTAGTAAAGAATATGAATGTGAGTGAACTACTAAGTAGTACATTATGTACTGTGTATTATGATGAGATTAGGCATAAAAAGATATGTTGACTAAATTGTAAATGAAATGCAGTATTTATAGAGCAACTCTGTGATCCAAAGAACCTAGTTATGAAAAGCTAGCTTACAAACAATAAATCAGATGTAAAACAAAGATTGCACAGTAACTTTTATTGATTGTTCCTTCTCCTAGAGCTCAGTAATGTGTGTAATACATACTTTATAACTTTTCTTTCTTCCTGCAGTACTTGGGATGTATAGAGGTCTTACGCTCAATGAGATCTCTTGACTTCAACACAAGAACACAGATTACAAGGTAAGACTTTTTGCAAATAAATTCACATAGTTAACTCTTGTATTATCTCCAAACAGTCAAGCATATGACTGGAGAAGAGCAAATATGTAACTGAATGTTTAGACTCTTTGGTCCCATTCTTATATTTTGCATTTAAAGGTGGGCATCTTACATTAGTGTAGCTCCAAAGGGACTTAGAGTCTTTTTCTGCCTGTTCTTCTGCCCTTTCAGGCTGCAATTCAGCAAAGCATTTAAGCATGTGCTTAAGTACATTACCATTAAACAAATATTAATACTTCACTGAATAGGGACAGACTGCTGAATTGGGGCCTCAAGGCTTGAAATTCTAAAAAGCCTTCAGGAATTTTGTGTGTGTGTGTGTAATTTTAATTGTTCCTTGTGAAACTACAGAAAAGAAGGGTTAATATTTTTAAAAATTAAAAATCTATAGTACAGAAAATATAAATAGAAAGAAATCAGTAGAATGGTAATAGAAACAAATACAAGCCTATTATTCTTTCCAGAGAATTCATAATAAATAGTACATACGTACACATATATATACTGGGTTGACATTAGAATTTCTAAGCATAGCTTTTTTTAAATTAATCACTAAAAGATGATACTGCTTTGAAAACATTATCCATGAATAATTCTATTTATAAAGAGATTCTTTAGGGAGAAATACAGCAAATGTTTGTTTTTTATACATTCTAGTTTTAGGGCCTGATCCCATTCACTTTGAATCAGGCCCCCCAATGTGGCAAGTGTCTTCTAGCATTTGATAGTACAGCTTCCAAAAACCGTAGCCAAATCAGGCAGTAAACCATTCTGTTTGTTTGAAAAGGAAAAATATAAAATGGGATTAGTGGAGAAGGCTGTTGCCTTTTGAATTCAGGGAAATGGGTTGTGAATGGTGTTCTGGAAAACACCTCCCAGTTTCTAGTGGTCTATCTCAATCAAAAAGAAAAGGAGTACTTGTGGCACCTTAGAGACTAACCAATTTATTTGAGCATAAGCTTTCGTGAGCTACAGCTCACTTCATCAGATGCATACTGTGGAAACTGCAGAAGACATTATATACACAGAGACCATGAAACAATACCTCCTCCCACCCCACTCTCCTGCTGGTAATAGCTTATCTAAAGTGATCACTCTCATTACAATGAGTATGATAATCAAGGTGGGCCATTTCCAGCACAAATCTAGGTTTTCTCACCCCCCGCCCCTTTTTTCCAAAAATCACACACACACAGATTCACTCTCCTGCTGGTAATAGCTCATCCAAACTGACCACTCTCCTTACAATGTGTATGATAATCAAGGTGGGCCATTTCTAGCATAAATCCAAGTTTAACCAGAACGTCTGGGGGGGGGTAGGAAAAAACAAGGGGAAATAGGCTACCTTGCATAATGACTTAGCCACTCCCAGTCTCTATTTAAGCCTAAATTAATAGTATCCAATTTGCAAATGAATTCCAATTCAGCAGTTTCTCGCTGGAGTCTGGATTTGAAGTTTTTTTTGTTTTAAGATAGCGACCTTCATGTCTATCTTAAAACAAAAAAACTACAAAAAAACTTCAAATCCAGACTTGTTTCATGGTCTCTGTGTATATAATGTCTTCTGCAGTTTCCACAGTATGCATCCGATGAAGTGAGCTGTAGCTCACGAAAGCTCATGCTCAAATAAATTGGTTAGTCTCTAAGGTGCCACAAGTCCTCCTTTTCTTTTTGCGAAGACAGACTAACAGGGCTGTTCCTCTGAAACCTATCTCAATCAAAGAATTCATGATATATCTGTTATGAAACTAATACCTCTCGTGCTTGGATGTTCTTGTAGACTCCACGGACCAGATTCAGAGCTCTTGCACATGGGTGTAATTTCAGTGACTTACAAGAGTTGCACCTGCATGCACCAACTTCAAGTTTGCCGCCATGAGTAAGACTACACTGCAGTTGGAAGCTCACTAAAAGTAGCACCATGGCTGTTGTGACTCGAGCTCTCAAGCCTACCCAACCCCCTGGGTCTGAGCTTAGGTGGCTATCCAGAGTCTTCGCCAGAGCCACAACTTCGGCACTGCTATTTTTAGCATGCTAGCTTGAGCTGAACTAGCATGAGTCCATCTACCTGGACTGGGAGGCTTGCTCCCAGTCCAGCTGCAGTGTAGGCATACCTTCTGAGTCCTTTAACTGGGTGCTCAGATACTATGAGGGTGAGTGGAATAGAGAGAGATGACAGAACATTATATTTTCCTGTCAAACATTCTAGGCCTTAGAAGACATTTGAGAATATTTCTTATAAGCTGTCTTCGTGGTCTCTGTCTGTGTTTCTACAGTATTCACAATAATGGCCTTTTTAAGCGACTTCATGCCAGACAGAATTTTAGTGCTGACACAGGTGGCACATTTGTACTTACCACTTGGAAAGTTAAGTGATACTGGCTTATAAAACAATTTGTAATAGTTGCTTACTTTGTTTTATATCTGAATATGAGCCACTTGTTGGTTGGTGTACACTTTCCTTGGCTTAGCATTGCTTTTTTCTCCAGTAACTAGTTTAAAGATCCACTCTGTCAGTAAAACTCAACCAAATTTGCCAGTCAGAAAGCAGTATAATCTGTGGTCATTTTTACATGCAAAATGTCACTGCTCCACTGTTCTCTGAGTGCATGGTTATTTTTGGCTTTAACTGTGAAACATACATTTGGAAAGTGACGTTTTTCTGATGAAGTTGTAGCATAGCTGATCACATACTGGGCACTTCCTTGGCTCATATTCTTTTGACCACATCTAAAATGTAAGAAAAGTCACAGGCAGAAAACCTTATGTTGCTTGGGGTTTCTTTTCTTTTCTTTTCCTTTTTTTTTTTTTTCTTTTTTTAAAATGATGCCACACAGACTCACTCCTCGGATTCATTCACAAGGTCTAATCCAAAGTCCACTGATGTCAGTGGGAGCATCTAGTTATAATGCAACCTTCCTGGCTGGCTGTAAGCATGGATTGCTCTTGCTTTAGTTGATGCCATTTTGGTGTGAGGTGTCCTTGCAAATCCTATAGACTTGAAAGAAGAAATAGCTCCACCTTTGGCCTGACATAACTTCTGACATCAGGTAATGTTTAGTAAGCACTCTAGAGGCCAGTTTGCGAATATGAGCCCAGTCAGAGTCTACAGGATTCTGGAAACCTCTATTTCCCGGGGCCATGCTGAAGGCTTGGTGTGCATGGACAGTAGCATAGTCACTCCCTTTCTAACATTACATCAACAGTTGCTCCCACAGCAGTACCATATCTGTCATTGCACACTCCTCTTCTCTGTGGGCAGATTTTCAAAAGATTTCAGCTCTTACAATTGGGGCCAGATTTCTGAGGAGCTCTGCTCCCATTTAGGCATCACCGTAAGTGGCCACACATTCAAAAGAGATGAGCTCGTTTGAAAAATCTGACCATGTAATTCCTTCCCCCTGACTTTTGCCAAGATCAATAATGAGTAAGGAGAGAAGAGATTCCCGAGGACCTGATCACAAGATTAAGGGGCCAAGGAGTAGCTTTATCTGAGGCACAATAACCAAGAGCTCAAAACATTTAAATTAAATATGTAACTCAGTTATTGCACATTTAAAATAACACAATGGGGTGGAATGGGGAGTGGGGGGGAGATAAAGTTCCTGGACAAGCCATCAGGTTAAAAGATTGTGTAAATGTCATATTTGATGTATATTGTTCAGGTGTCTAGAATTTATCTTTGGGCCAGATTGTGACTCGTTCTGTTGGCAAACTTTTGCTCACCTGAATAGTCCTATTGAAGTCTATGGCTTGTTTGAATAAGTGCTCATTATGATGGTTGTAAAGACTCCACAGTCTTGCTTGTAATCAAAGGAAAACAAAGTTGTAATTCACAGGGAGGTTCTGTTGATCTCAAGGGCAAAAATTTCTAAAGCAGCTTTTAAAATTGTGCCCACGATGTGACACATCTAAGTTTTTGTATATGCAAAATTATATATATTTGTGCATACCTGCTACATTGATGCATGCTTGCGGAGAGGAAGAAAGCTTTTTTAGCCAAACTGCAGAACTGAGTCAGACTCCTGGGTTCTATAGGTTCTGGCTTCTTGTCTCCTGGGACACACCACTTAATCTGTTTTGACCTCACAGGGTTGTGAGACTAAATGTTTGTAAAGTGCACTGAAATCTTTGGATGGAAAGGACTGTAGAAGTGCAAACAATTAATACTGGCTGAGATTTTCAAAGCTGCCTAATGGATTTAGATGCCCAAGTCCCATTAGAAATTAAGGGGACTTAGGTGTCCAAACTCCCTAGAAAGTATTGAAAATCATCCCACCTGTTATTATTTAATCAGTTATTTAGATACACAAATCCAAGTGTATGCTTGGGCAAAACCAAACACATGAAAAACTGGCAACTTTTGAAGGCCCAAAGTAAATACGATTTGCTTAGGGGTCTTCCTTCTCTTAAGGTCACTCGTAAAAAATATAAGGTATTTTCACTGTTTTGCTTGGCGCTTTGTGTGTCTAACACTTAACTTGAATTGTTTATCATTCTTAAAAATTAAAATGTTAAATATTTTAATAGTTAATATACTTTCTATGTAAGTGAAATCAATGAACAGATGCTTCCCTTTACCATGCTGTTAGTAGAAGGGTATCAACAGTTTCAGTGTTGCCCAGAAAAACGTGGTGGTATATTAGTCTGTGGCTATGGCTTATGGAGAAATGAAAAGGTAAGTATAAATAGTATGAGATTTTTCCTTGATCATTGTGAAATTTGAAGTTGCCAGAGGCTTTTACTACAGAACAAATGTGACAATTAGAGTGCTATTGTATTGTCACTTGTGAACCTATTCTTTTGTAATCTCCACATGAATCTTTGAATTTTTAAATGGAAGTGCAAGCAAAAGTGTCAGTAGGTATAGATAATGGTAAAATAAAAACTATCTGAATCCACAAATTGTATAATTAACTGTGCATTGGCAATTCTTGGCACACACCTGAAGTAATGCTAAC